CTTCCCCTTCTGCTGCTGATGTGTCATCTTAGGTCTGCAGCTCACAGATACACACCTGAACAGCCATACTCAAGACTGCAACAGCACAGACACTTTGATGCAATAATTCAAAACAAGAGGTGTCCGTTATCAGACATTGTTAAATAAACAAAATATTGCAAGAGTGCTAAAGATTTAAGCATGTTTTTATTTTAAATAAAAAAGACCCCTTTGTGTTTGTGTCCTTTATAAAGTTTATATCTCTGCTACCTGGCATTACAGTTTATGACACGCATGGCCCGGCCCAACAAGGTCTCACTGGTGTCAGATCTGGCCCTCGTAACAAATGAAGAAGAAGAAGAAGAAGAAGAAGAGAAGAGAAGAAGAAGAGATTGGATTTATACTCCACCCTTCACTACCCAAAGGTGTCTCAGAGCGGCTTACAAACTCCTTTTCCCTTCCCCTCCCCACAACAGACACCCTGTGAGGTGGGTGGGGCTGAGAGAACTCTGACACAAACTGCTCTTTTTCAAGGACAGCTGCGCCAGAGCTTGTGACTAACCCAAGGTCACATCAGCAGGTGCAAGTGGAGGAGTGGGGAATCAAACCCGGTTCTCCCAGATTAGAGTCTGCACACTTAACCACTACACCAAACAGGAGTTCGACACCCCTGGTCTACAGAGTCTGGAAAAGCAGCCTTCTGACTAGAATCCCATATTAGTGTTGTGAAAAGCATTAGGATTCTAGGGAAGGAAAGCGGAATACTTATAGAGGGCATATTAGTGACTAGAGAGAGTCAAATCCTAATATTGTCAAAGTATTATAAGAAGCGTGAGATAAAAGAAAGGGGGGAAAGTTAACTGAGCAAAACATATTAAAGCTCGGACAAAGTATATTCTGAGGAGAAAGGACCCCATAAAGCGGAGTGATTGTGAGGTGAAAGAGTGGGACAACCTCAGCCAGAAGTTATTAACATACACTGTTATTTACTGAAGACATAAGTTACAAAACATCTCGAAACCAATATGCCTGTTTATTGTTTATTGTTAACCCAGAGTCATACGCTATTTCCGTACTAGAGTCTCATCCTCAGGGCCACATCGTCCAACAAAGGAGCCTTAGAGCTTGGTCACAATACTGGGGGGGGGAAAGTTGAATAATAAGATTTGGAATTAACTTCCTGGTGGCAGCGCTACATACTCAGAGACGGAACAAGAAAGTTAGAGGCACACCATATCTAACCCCATGAATAAGAGAGAGTAGTCCGTGATACATCCCACGCAGCAGCTGCATTCTCCCGGATACCTCTTTTTGGGGGGTTATTTTTGTTTGTGTGTGTGAGAGAGAGTGTGTGCACCTGGAAGTCTTGGCGACCTCTGGTGACTGACCCCTCCTGGGGGCCTGGAGGATATTCAGAGAGGAGGCTGAGTAAAGCCTGCCCCCCGTGCTCCCGCCTCTGGTATTCCAAGGAGGTCTCCCATCCAAGTACTTGCCAGAGTTGACCCTGCTTAGCTTCCGAGTAGAGATGTAAACTGCTCAGTTTATTTCATCGTGTTTCTGTCCCGCCCTCCCCCGCAAGCGGGCTCAGGGCAGGTTACAAAAGAATAAAAACAGTTAAAGCATCACAGTGTACTTATACTTAAGATCGATAAACCCCAATAACACAATCCACAAGGTGGCAATTGCAATTCGACAGGGTCTCCTCCATGAATCCCGCATGTGTGGGCAAGACAGACCAGAATGTCGGGCAAGTATACATAACCTCTATCGATAGCACGGTTGAATTAGTGGAAGCACCGAAAAAATGGGTGGAGCTGGGGAGGGCAATGCAGTTTGGACACCCGGTGCTTCAACCAAAGGCCTGGTGGAACAACTCCATCTTACAGGCCCTGCGGAAGTGTAATAAGTCCCATGGGGCCCTGATCTCACTTTGGAGTGTATTCCACCTAGAGATGTAAAATTCCCGGAAATTTTGAAGCTCGGAAAAAAAACCCCGGGTTTTACTTGGCATGAAATTATCACAACTAGCATATTAAAAATATAGTGTATCCAAACAATTATTACAAACAGAATACCCACCCACATGCAAAAACAAAACTGAAACCTTCTTTTCTTGTGACAACAGCACCTCCTAGAGGCAGAAATGCATCTTGTTCTTGCATTGGAGAGTTCAGTTGGTAACCTAGGACTTGCTCGTCCTCAGTGCACAGAAATTAGATCAATCTGATACCATACGTATTTTTTAGAAATGATTTGGAAAATATCTGAACATCTTGGTCTTAAAATATTTTATTCATCATGTTAAAATAAAATGTTCCATAATCAATTTCTTTTCCTTTTCTTTTGTCAATTTTTTCAATTTTTCAGAAAAAAACAAAAAAGTCTTCAGGAAAAAACCATCCCCCCCCCCCATTTCCCGGGCCTTCACATCTCTACTTCCGAGATCTGACAAGATTGGGCTTGCCTGGGCTATCCAAGTCAAGGCCTTCCTCATACCTCTTGATGGCCATTCCCAGGGCTATTTTTGGGCAG